CTTCCTTCCTGTTCTGGGAGTCTGACCCTATTCTTGACAAATTAAGTGCCTTTGTAGTATGCATGGAATTGCATTGTATCGATGCATAAAAATAAGAAAATTAAAAAAAAATGGCCTAATGACCTACCCTTTTTATCAGGCACGTTACCCGAAACACGCATCATGTTGTTGTTTTTTGCCTAAACTTAAGAATAATAAATATTTCAGTTTGGTGTACAAAAATCAACAGTGCTTAAACCATTAGAGAAATCTTCATGAGGTTTTAGTGGTGTTAGTAATGTGGTGTGTATATTTGATCATTTTCTGTTTAGCCGGATCTGCTGCTATCCCTGTCCGATGTCCTCAAAAATGCCGGAAACAGTGCAGTGGTTCGAATGCAGGCTGGTCTTCAGCTGAAGAATGCCTTGTACTCGAAAGATCAAAATATTCGAGTTGAGTACCAACAGAGATGGCTTCAGTTTCCAGAGGAAAGGAGGACTTTAATTAAACAGAATGTAAGTTCAAAGATGAGTTTGCAATGGTTCTTTCAATTATTGCTATTATGAAGGATGTTCAGTGTTGGTGTTTTGTCATTACCTTTGAACTAATGCCAGCTGTATATTTTCGTTGGTCGAGATTTGCAGTGTTCACTCCAGATTTTTTAATTATTTTTCCTGAAGTCTTTTACCTGTACAAAAGTAAGTCTGTATATCGCCTCAATTTAAGAATTCATTGGCTGCTAGAAAATTCAGAGGTGGAAAATGACATTTAAAATACTAGTTACAGATTTAAAAAAAAATCTGCCAGCTCAATCTATAACTTCACTTAAACTTCGCAATTTTCTTTAGCCTTGATGTTAGAGCTATTAGAATTTTACACCCCGGAATTGAGAACAAAAAAATGAACAGTATGCAGACAGAAGCTATTTATTTCTTCAAATTATGTTTACATTCATGTAAAAATCTTTAACTTTTTAGGTACTTGCTTCCCTGGGTACGGAGAGCATCCGTCCAAGCTCGGCAGCCCAATGTGTGGCCTACATTGCCTGTGCCGAGTTGCCTACAGGGCTGTGGCCAGACCTTATCACAGTCCTCACCAGCAACGTTACCAGCCCAGGAAGTACCGAGATCATGAAAGAGTCGGCACTCGAGGCCATCGGCTATATCTGTCAGGATATCGTAAGTTGACATAGTTTTTAGTTGTCACTAGACCCTCTGCCAAGTTCCATTTCAATAAAGATAATGATAGCTATAATTTCAAGCTAAATTTGCTTGAGGTTGTCTTTTTTCAGTTGATTTTATATACAAGGTATGCACTATCGCTTTGAATCTGAGATAAACCTAGAATCTTGGAGAATATTCCCTCAATACCGAGACAATACACCAAGACTTGGTTTACATAATGCTATACAGTATACTCTGTTTAGTTGTGATACATCTCCATAAAAATAGCTAGCATTGAAGAAATTTTAATCTTTTAGGTATATTAACCAGAAATATTTTTTTCCTGGAATATACAGTATGTTTTCAATTTCGATTCGTCTGTAAGAGAATTCTGTAATTCTTTAAATTTCGATTTGTTCACAGGACCCTGACATTCTACAGACTCAGTCTAATATCATCCTAACAGCTATTGTACATGGCATGAAGAAAGAGGAACCAAGGTAAAACATTCGGTCAACATCTAGAAAAATGCTCCTGTGTAAATAAGTTACGCAAAAAACTAGGTCCATGTGAAATGTGCCGGTGCGACGGTCAACAGACATGTCTGTTAAAAGTTACTGCCGGCCCGGCAATCACTATTTCCAGACCAAATGTCCGGCATATGTTTTCTAACTTAGAGTTGTGGTTAGTCATGTCACTTAAGCTGTTTAAATGCCCCCGTTATATTTGATGCAGTCAAGCGCTGCTGTAACCTGTAATGACATTGACGGGAGTGACAAATAATGCTTCGTAAAATCCGGCAAACTACTGCAAAAACCAAACCCAGTT